GAATGTAGACGGTGGGGTTGGTAGAGACTGGTGGGAATTCAAATTTTTCTAAACACATGGTAAGTATATTGTAAAATACATATGTACCGAGAATTTTCAGAATTGGTCTGTTCAGTGTGGAGTATATTCAGCAGTATTTTTGACATTTTTCTTTAGAAAAAGAGGAAAAGCTAAAGGAATTTTATAAGTTTTGTTACATAAAGGGTTGAAATATTGAGTGTTTGAAAGTGAACTGCTGTTTGCCTGATTGGTTAAAAAAAACAAAAAACCCAACACACTACAATTGATATCAAAAGGTTTCTCCTGTAATATTTTATCCCTGGACTTGTCAAGTGAATTCTTTGCATGTTCAAAATGGAAACCATTGATTAGAACTACATTCTTTTCTCCTTGTTTTAATTTGAACCCCACCATATGAATTTTTTTCCGTAGGAAAATCTCCTTTTTTGGAGATCATGGTGTCACAGTGTTTGGTTCTTTTGTTTTCGTTTTTGTTTTTTTTTAACACTTGTCTCCCTTCATATGCAAAAGTACAATATGAAGCCTTCATTTAATCTCTGCAGTTCATCTCATTTCAAATGTTTATGGAAGAAGCACTTCATTGAAAGTAGTGCTGTAAATATTCTGCCATAGGAATACTTCCGTCTACATGCTCTCTCATTCAAGACTTCGTCATCACACTGCACAGGCTGCGTCTTTGACGGTGGGTGTCCCATTTTTATCCGCTACTCTTTATTTCATGGAGTCGTATCAACGCTATGAACGCAAGGCTGTGATATGGAAACCAGAAGGCTGTTTGAACTTTTGAAACCTTGTGTGGGATTGATGGTGGTGCCGAGGCATGAAAGGCTAGTATGAGCGAGGAAAGGAGAGAGCGCGTGCAGAGACTTGGTGGTGCATAATGGATATTTTTTAACTTGGCGAGATGTGTCTCTCAATCCTGTGGCTTTGGTGCGAGAGTGTGCAGAGAGCAATGATAGCAAATAACGTACGAATGTTTTTTGCATTCAAAGGACATCCACATCTGTTGGAAGACTTTAAGTGAGTTTTGTTCTTAGATAACCCCGTTAGTTGGATGTGTTAAGTGAAACGATACTTGTATTTCCCCTCCCCTTTTGTCAACTGCTGTGAATGCTGTATGGTGTGTGTTCTCTTCTGTTCCTGATCTGTAAGTGTGGTCCTGTGAACTGAAGCTGGTGGGTTGAGAACATGGACTGAGCTTGTGGTGTGCTTTGCAGGAGTACTTGGAAGCAGAGTTCACCAGTGAGCTCGGGGTGTCGCCACGAAGGGTGGAAGTTCTAATGTCTGTCAGCTACCCATAAGAATGCTGTTTGATGCAGTTCTGTGTCCTGTGCTTGGATGCTTTTTATAAGAGTTGTCAATGTTGGAAATTCTTAAATAAAACTGATTTAAATAATATGTGTCTTTGTTTTGCAGCCCTGAATGCAAAGAATTCATAGCAGTTAATTCCCCTTTTTTGACCCTTTTGAGATGGAACTTTCATAAAGTTTCTTGGCAGTAGTTTATTTTGCTTCAAATAAACTTATTTGAAAAGTTGTCTCAAGTCAAATGGATTCATCACCTGTCATGCATTGACACCTGATACCCAGACTTAATTGCTATGTTCTTGCATTGTCCAAAGTGAAAAGTTTTTTTTTTTCTTTTTAAACCTAGTTTTTAATAAGTCTGGGTGACCGCACCTAAAATGGTAAGCAGTACCCTCCAGTTTTTTTATTAGTGCCTCTGTGCATTTGGGTGATGTTCTATTTACATGGCCTGTATGAATCTCCATTGGGAATCATGCCTTCTAAAAATATTCTTATTTGGGGGGAGTGGGAAAAACAACGTTGATTATCTTCAAATGCTTTGTAGCAAAGCATAGCAGTTGGAAAGGAGGGCATTTCAGCACCTTTCTAGTTTGGGATTTGAAAAGTGGAATTAATTGCAGTAGGGATAAAGTAGAAGAAACCACAAATTTATCTTGTGCCTGAAATCCATTACAAAGCCTGATAGCTTTAAGAACTAGCAGGGTGGGATGTCTGTCTGAAAGTGTTAAGTGAAATGGGCTTTGTCCTCCACAGGTGGGGGAATAGAGTAACGTTGAATGAAATCGTTGATAGAAAACTCAGATTAGACTCTCACGGCTCATTGTGCAGTATGTAAAAGCAATAATCTATGATTCTCTGTTGTACTTTTTATGTAACTGCTGTGAGAGTTGAGCTTGTTTTCTGATGGAAGAATGTTAACATTTTTGTGTCGGTAGCTTACCTGATGCCCTTCTCTAATTAGATGATGATAACTAGGTTTGTCATTTTTCAAGTTACGTGTTTTAAGCTTTTAGAAATGAAGTCGTCCTTTAGACTTGTGATCGCCACGTTGTTTCGTTACTCAGTTTCCTCTGTAAAAGGATCTTGCATTGTTTTAATTTTTTTCTGCATCTCCATTGCATGATTTCCAAACCCTGTACCATCTGAATTTTGCATTTTAGCACTTGCACTGTTACTCAGCAGCAGTAACTTGGTAACACTTAAAATGGTATTCGGGGACCTCCAAAGACTAAACTGACAAGCCTTCAAGGAGCCCAGGGGTAAGTTCACTTGTCAATGGCATGGTTTTAATCCCTTACTTGCACTTGTTGTGAATCTAGTTTCCGGTCTTAGAAGGCTTTCAATGTGCAGCAGCCTTCTGTTAACAATGTTTGTGGTACTAGTAGCTGTGGGTATTTAATTCTACCCTTAAAATTAAAAAAAAAAGAAAGAAAGAAATGAAGTCTAGAAGTAAAACTATTTGGCAAAGATTTGTTTTTAAAATTAAGTCTTATTTGGTCATCTCAATGCATTCATTCTTAAAACTTTTTTGAACCAGTTGAATAAAAAATTTGTTGCCACCACAGTTTAGTGTCTGGAGTCTTACTGGAAAAATTCAATTTCTTTTTTATATGTGACAAAGGTGATGGAAAGTTACTTTGGAAAAGTCTCAAGAAGTTCCCCTTTAATATGCACAAAAGGAATCAGGCAGAAACTCAAAATGAATTTTTACATGAGTGGTAAATATTTGGCTAGGATGAAACTCTTTGTGAAGTGTTAGCTATTAAAACTTGAAAGAGGAATAGCCAGCCGAAATGACCTGAGGTCTTTAAGGTTAGGTGAGCTTAAATTGTGTCCTTAGGGAAAGTATCTTAACCGCTTGATAATTCCAAAGATGTATGTGATAATTAGAATGATTCGTTGTTGAGTGCCAGGAGAGTAGCTCTTCGTTGTGTATGAGTTCTGTACTCAGCTCTTGTGATTTGTGATCTGTTGTTTTCAGTATGCCCAAGGATTTTCGTGTTCATTGTGAGAATTAAAAAAAACTACAGACTTACCTATGCTATGGCCACTTAGTTCTGATGTCGTAGTTCTTCTTAAGGAATTGCCACATTTGATTCAGCTGTCTTCTGAATTTGAACATTATTTAGGTTATTATTTCCAAGTGCCGGGAACATCCTCACAGCTGAATTAAATTCTTAGCGTTGGCGTTACTAGGTCAAAGACTGCGTGCTTTCAGGGCTTTTCAGATACATTGCCAAGTTGTCCTTTAGAAAACCTGTGTTGTCTTTGACAATGTGAAATGGTGCTGTTCTGTGTTTTTCTTGTCTGCCAGTTGGATAAGTGAAAAATTATATCTCGCCAGTTGATGGCATTGGTTTTGCACATGGGAATCAGTCAATACCTAACCCGAAGTATTGATGTTTCCGTTTTATCTACAAAATCACGATTCTAGGTTATCCCTGAACCAGTACTGCTATAATATATAAAGCTCTGTTAGAGATCAAGAACAAGTCCCCAGACAATGGAAGAGTTGTCAGAGAACATGAACGGGCAATTTATAGAAATGCAGATACCTGGTGCAGATACTGCACTTTGTAAGTCATGAAATGCAGATTTAACTGGTGATATTCTGTGGGATTGGCACAGGTGATCTCACTTGCCTGTGTCCCCTCGAATCCAGCAGGAAGCGGTGAGAAGCCCCAAGGGAGGGGCACCTGTGGTGGCCTTCTTCCCCGAAGTTTGCTTTTGGTTTTGGCGGTAGGGCAGTAACTGCCATGTTAATGTCTCTCGGGTCACGTTGCTGCTACGGTCTTTTAAAGGGGTTTCTAAAAAGAATCCTTTTCTGATTGAAGACACAACAAATTAAAAGTTATTAATTATGTTCTTGATCCAGGGAATATAGTTAACAACTTTTGTGTAGACCCCATACTGGTTTGCTTCCCCACAATTCATGGAACCCCAGGACACTATTCCTCCCACAAACCATGTCTGTGTCTCGTTATCTAGAAACACTAATGCCCCTCCACTGTCCCCTTTGCAGCTGTCCTTGCCCCCGCCTTCTAAGCCAGCGCAAAGCATGTTTTCTGTCACCCTTCCCCCTGGATAGGGCTGCTTTTCATATGCAGCGGTACATTTCTGGTGATCGACAGTTGGAATGTCAACAAACATTAGACTTCTGGCAAGAAAACCCCTTTGGGTTAATCCCCATCCAGACACGGTTCCAATGTCATTTGTCCTCATGAAGGATTCGGCTTCTTTTCGTGGCAAACAGATAGGCAAGATGTTGCTATTGATTACAACTCTGTTCTTCAACTTAATCAGTGCTATGTCGTTATCAAAGCCAGCATCATGAGTATAGCCTTCATGTATAAAAATGGCCTCGGCCCAGGCTTGTGTATAATGAGCTGACAGTCTCTTCAGGGCACCCATTCTGATCTCTAAGGAGGAGGCATCTTCTTTTTGCTCATACACGGCGTGAGCTGCTGTGAGGATCCAGTTGTCCTGTAGGAGTGCGCCTGCAGCCGTAGTTCGACCTAGTAATAGGACTTGCCAGGGAAAATCGCCAAGCTTTGCGTTTTGCCCTCCATATATACGCCCTCTTACGGTGCGAGTTGATATTCCACAAACTAGGGAAAGAAGCAGATATATAGAGCCTTTATAGAAACCCAGTGGTGTTTTTTTTCCGTAATCATTCCCACTTTGGAATTGTATCTATTTATATTAATCATCCAAAACTATCATCGGGTGAATTGGTGGGTGTCCACCCACACAGGCAAGTGAGACTGCTTTAAAACGGCACAGTTCGAACCTGAGGAGGAAACCTTTTGGTATTAGCATTAGCTCCTCAGAAAATGAGGTGTATGAAAATTAGCTTTTAGAAACTAATTTGTTTTACTGAAATAATTTGGCCTACACGATAGGGAGTATTAATAGGGCAGACAGGAATTGTCTGGGCTGATGTACTGGGGTGATGTGATTACAAATCCAGTGAAAGGAAATAACCTTTTCATTGCTTCTGTTTTCCTGCTTGTAAAATGGGGTATTTACCCTGTAGTTCTGGGAAAGCAGGAACTAAGGTCACTGTTGCAGGATTTGCAAAATCACTTTCGCCTTTGAACATTTAAACGTTTTGCAAATCAGAATGTTGGCAGTTGTAGCCAGGAACCTTCAGGTTCGGAAATTACTATTTTAGTCTAGTTGGTTCTTCCAAACTAAATTTTCCTGTGTGTATTGCTAACTAAATACACTCATTAATGTAGCAAATATGTCTCCTGTTGTGGCAGAATACTTGCACTAAAACGTACAAATGTTGTGTCAGCTAAGATGTAGTTTTTTTAAGAAAACTAATTTAAGCCAGATAACGCAGGAGTAATGAATACATTATTACCTTTCTGATTTTTTTTTTTTTTTAATCGCTGTACTCAACTACATCTTCAGAGCCAATTCTGGCAAAAAAAAATTTTTTTTTGGGTACTATTCAAAAGGCAGATTGCATTAATGTTTAAAAACTAGATGTCGTTGAAAACAGTTGCTTAGGGAAATGAGTTATTAGCTTTGGGTTTTAATAGTTTCACAGAGAAGAAAAAGTTAACTCCACAGCAGGACTTGTGTTTATAAATGTAAATGGTTCAAGATAATTCTTAAAATCGTTTCATTTTTTACGCTCGCCTAGTTGTGAAGTCAAAAATAGTCCAATGACTGACGTGCAGTCGGCACCTAGCAGCCCCTCCGCATGGAAAGGGGAGAGTGAGAACGTGTTATCTGGAAATAATAACTTGGTGTAAGAGCCAAGTGCTGAGGTTCCATTTCTGCCCAACACCAGCCAGAGCTCCGCTCGCCTCCCGCCCAGCTGTACTTTCCATCAATTACGCGTCTCTTGTGTAAATGTATCCATTACCAGGCTCACAGACTGGGAGCGATTTTTCTCCTTTGGAGCTCGTCCAGAATCCATCAGCCCCACACACATATTTACCTGCAAATCATTGGAAAAGCAAAAATGTTTAACTGCATGGAGAAGGTGGTTGTCATTTGCTTGAATAGCCCCTTGAAGAATGTTGATTCTGGAGCATCATCGGGAAAGAGAGGTGTCTGAATAACCATTTTACATGATTTCATAAATAGGAGGTCTCTGCATTAACCATGTTTGCTCGCAAAGTGGAAACCTTTTAGATGTGTAACTTGAATATGTATCAAGATCTCAAGTGCTTAATGATAAGGTTTTGACTTGTTAAATTAAACCATTTGGAATATATTGTGTGTTTGTAGTAGTCATTTACTAGATAAGATCTGTTTTCAGATTCTTGCAAATTGACATTAAAGTCACTTGAGCTGTAATACTTCACTTAGCGGGTGGGGGTAGTGCCTTTTAATCTTCCCTGCAACCTTAGCCAAAAATGTTGGCTAAAGTTTATTTTCACATCCCGAGGGTTTAGGTTCCAAATCACTCACCCCCAACTTTGAGCACTTTGCTTACCATCCTCCGATCTCATCGTGTAGAAGATCTCGTTACAGCGGTATTGAATCTCCGCCTTGTATGTGGTCACTTCGGGACCTGTGACGTACTGCACTTGGCCGTTGGGTAAATCTTCCGGCGGGCCACAATCCACAACTGGTAAAGGGAGAGGGAGGAGTCAGGTCGCACTAACCTGATTTGTGTCCAGCGCTGACCGCGAGAGGCCAGACGGGCAGGTGGCTGTGCTGCCGGGCGCTGTGGCCCGAAGCTCCCCCTGTGTGGGAACAACGCTGACCCTCTTAACTGAAAATGGATAGGTCGGCCTTACTGTGATCGTAAAGCATCGCCTTCCTCCTGTTCCGACCTGAACGGCTAGATTGCGGTGAGGCCCCTGGGGTGGGAGCCGCACGGTGCTTTCCAGAAGGAAGGGGTTTGAAGCCACCTGGGGCTCCTTAGTGCCCGTGCCCTAACTTCTGACGGAAATTCTGGGGCCAAAGGGCCTCAAGGAAGGAAGAACGGGGCACGGCCCACGCGTCCCTGGAGAGCAGTACTCCGTTTGCAGTTTGGCCCTGAGAGTCAACAATAGGACGGAGGACTTGGTTTGTGCTAAGGCTCCTGGTCCCAAATTAACTTTTTAGGAGATCTGGAAGTCCTAGTACCTTGAATTTGCATTAGAATGCTCACCCGTTAGGACACGAGTGTGATTAGGACACGAGTGGGAACGATCTACCCAGGTTCGGAGATGAAGTGATAGGCCAGAAGCCCTACTTCACGCAGGAGGTCGAAAACTCGACACTGGACGTTCTTTCTCCGAACATTTAGAGCTTACACTGAGATAGCAACTTAGCCGTGAGCCTGGTTCTGTGCCGAGTGCTCCTCTGATTCTCCGCAGAGAGGTGCCCACGGCTACCTGGCTTCATTAAAGTGGCCGCGCTGGGGTTCCGAGCCGGACTCCCAGCTCCCAACGCTCCCGTGGTGCCGGCTCTCCTGCTTTGGAACTAAGCATTGGTAGTCTCGGTGGTGGGGCTGAAGCTACGAAGTGAAAGTGTTTCAATTGCCTGTGAATTCTGTGGGAACCCTTGCACAAAATGTGCACAAATACATTTACAGGGGCGCTGACCACAGCAGTGGATGTATTCGGAAAGACCTGGGCACAGCACACAGGCCGTGGCGGGGGTGCCACGCAGCCACTAACGAGGGCGTGATTCTCCTAACCCTTGGGTTGACGTGGAAAGAGAGCCCAACAACACGGGGGAGTCCGTGCGATCAGAGCGAGTCTCCTTTTGCTTAAAGAGTGTGGACTAGTGAGATACGTTAGGATACACACACAGCATGGGAGCTAAAGCACGTGAAGGCACGGACCTGCAAACTCTCAGGGGTCGTTTGGGGACGTGGGCAAAAGAGGCTCTCGCTGTAGGTTTCTGTAAACTTAGGTTTTCGACTTAACTTGCATTTTATCGCTGGGAAAACAACTTACGATGTGATTCCTAACTCACAGGCTGGTAAGTACACCCTCGCTCCAGTTTGGTGTGTATGTGGCCGCGCAGTGACCCCCGTCCCTACAGTATGGTGGCCTGTACCTGTGCACACGTGTGAGAGCGTGTGTGACCGCGGGCGTGTTCTAACAGTGGGATCGCGGGCCTTAAAGTGCCATTTTCTCTTTCCCATCCTGCACGGAGATTTCATACTTGGAAAAAACAGTTTTAAAGATTACGCTTGTCCAAAGGCGATAACTTTTTTCCTAGTGGCTTGGTTCCCGTTTAACCTGTAAGAGCGCCCGGAGAGGCCGGGGAGGAGGAGCAGGTTTGGAACCCGGTCCCCGAGAAGCGGACCATTTCAGAAGAGACCGGAAGCAGGCACGGGCGGCAGAGGCCGCGCGGGGATCTGGGGTCACGGGGCCTTACTGCTGCACTGCGGCATCAGCTTGTCCCAGGATCCGTCTTTCTGGCACACGGCAGCAAATGACCTGAGGGGCAGACGACCCTAAAGAAGAAGCCGGAAAGGGTTGCGTTACTCGTTTGTATCGGGACCCCACTCCCCGAAGCTCGGCTCCCGCAGCAGTGCCGGGGCGGGGGGGGGAATTAGTCAGGGGGTGCCGCACCCACGTGACCAGCCACACCCCCGACTCTGCCTCGGTGCCCATGCGCGCTGGCTGGCGGCCGACAGCTCTGCCCGTTGTGTCGCCGATGCCGCAGACCTCCTCTCCCTCTCTAAGAGAGGTGTTGGCGCTGCAGGGATCAAATGGTGACCTCTGCGGCAACTGCGGAATACTTTTCGCTCTCCACTGCAATCCAGGAACCCAACACATCCAGTGCCTGCTGCCTTTTCACCAGTTCTTTACATAAAGGGCCAAAGGGCGGTGGCCGAACTTCGGGGAAGGCCAGCCGTCTCCCGCGTGGAGCGAATGTGCCCGGAGTTTTCTAGCCTTGTGGCCATCAGCTGGGGGGGACAGTTACTAAAAATACTTTCCTAGGCCTCGCCTGTGCGTTCTCAGTGATCGCTAGAATGGTTTGCAGAGAACGTGTCTGACTTACTGAAACGTTATTTTAAAGTTGGAAGTGAAAGATCACTTGGGCAGAGCAGAAGAAGCCTTTATGCTTTCAAGGAAGCAGGAGGGTTTTTGTTCATTCTTTTCCCTTCCACCCCCACCCACCCCCCCCCCAGCAGAAACTGAGGTTTGCATGCAGTCCCAGGAGCTGCGGGCCAAGACCCTGGCCGGGAACTTTGCAAGGTGGGAAAAGTGCCGGGTTTTGGTTTGCTTCTTTTGGACTCACTCCTCCGCAGGACTGGACTGAATAGCTAACTATCGTTTCCGTGTTATTACTTTGTACCGCTGGGATTCAGTGACAATTTTGAAGAACATAAAGAGGACGTGTTAATCTCTTACCTGTGCTCAGTTGCCTAAACAGCAGTAAGCATTTTAAAATTATCCTCCTCGTCTTCACAGAGGTCACTATTTATAACTTTGCAGAATGTACCGTTTCCTAGTGCCGTTTAATCTTTGGTGCGCCCGGGACTTGTGGCACGGAAAGGTCGTCACGTGACCGGGGGCGGGGCCTAATTTAATGCCAGGTGGTAGCCCGGGCCTCTCGAGCTGCCATAGGGTGTGAACAGGGAAAAAATCCATTTTAATCACCAGCTTCGGAGAAGAAAAGGGCTTCGTCTTTTCTTCCTTTTTTTTTAAAGTTTGCTTATTTTTTGAAGGGAGAGGGGAGGGCAGAGACAGAGAGGGAGAGACAGAAACCCAAGCATGCTCCGCATGGAGCCCGCTGTGGGGCTCAAACCCAGAAACCGTGAGATCACCGCCTGAACCGAAATCAACAATCCGGGGCTTAACTGAGCAGCCCCAGGTGCCCCTTAGAGCTTTTTGCATAAAGAACGAAAGAATTCTCCATAGACCTCTGTCTTCTAGGCCAGCTTATCTCTTTGAATGTTAGTGGCTAATCGTGGGCCAAAGAAAGCCCCGTGCTGACCACAGCTATTTCTCCACTTGCACCCATCTGCCGATACGAATATGTAGCCACGTAAAAACCGGTCATGATCCTGCTGCGCTTGGAGCTCTGTGCTAACTTACCTGCAGGAGCTCGTACCCAGTCTCGCAGAAGACGGCGAAGCGGTCTTTCAGGACGTACTGGGCTTGCACAGGCGCGAGGCGGCCATTAGGTGGAGCCACCGGACCAGGGCAAGGCCGAGCTGCGCGGGGAGGGGGGGGGGGGTTGGAAACCGGGTTTAGGGGTTTTGATGCGGCCTCTCGAAGGCCAGTCTGAATGCAGCCATTTCAAGGTCTTGATTTCATAGCCGGAACACTTAACACACAGAGCTCGCCACAAGTGGGGTAGACCGCTTCAGAGTTCAAACCAGAGGCCAGATGACCCTGTGGGGCGCGTATTGCACCGATCGGGATTAGTAGCCGCGCCTGGGCCTCCCGGAAAGCGGCGTTGCCGAGCCGGGAACCCGGGGGGCGTCTGCTCTGCCCCGGGGACCTTACAGTCCCTGCCGCAAACCAAGAGAGAGTGTCGCTTGGAGGAAAAGAGCTAGACCCGCATTCGCAGCAATTACTTTTAGCCTCTCTGGGCCTCCGATTCCTCTAGGGGTCGTGAGGGCCGGATGTAAAGGCTAGTGCCTTGCTGAGCGCTGGGCCAGAGTGGGTGCGGGTGACCGCCCACAACAGCCCGGAGACACCTGGGGTTCCGATCCCCACCGGCACTCAGGGAGCCTGTGCTTCCCCCTCGCCAGCACGTGCTCACAGCGCTCAGCCGAAGGCTTTCAATGTGCAGCAGCCTTCTGTTAACAATGTTTGTGGTACTTAGTAGCTGTGGGTATTTAATTCTACCTTAAAATTAAAAAAAAAAGAAAAGAAAGAAATAAGTCAGAAGTAAAACTATTTGGCAAAGATTTGTTTTAAATTAAGTCTATTGGTCATCTCAATGCATTCATTCTTAAAACTTTTTGAACCAGTTGAATAAAAAATTTGTTGCCACCTTTCCCTGGTTTAGTGTCTGGAGTCTTACTGAAAAATTCAATTTCTTTTTTTTATATGTGACAAAGGTGATGAAAGTTACTTTGAAAAGTCTCAAGAAGTTCCCCTTTAATATGCACAAAGGAATCAGGCAGAAACTCAAAATGAATTTTTACATGAGTGGTAAATATTTGGCTAGGATGAAACTCTTTGTGAAGTGTTAGCTATTAAAACTTGAAAGAGGAATAGCCAGCGAAATGATGACCTGAAGGTCTTTAAAGGTTAGGTGAGCTTAAATTGTGTCCTTAGGAAAGTATCTTAACCGCTTGATAATTCCAAAGATGTATGTGATAATTAGAATGATTCTGTTGAGTGCCAGGAGAGTAGCTCTTCGTTGTGTATGAGTTCTGTACTCAGCTCTTGTGATTGTGATCTGTTGTTTTCAGTATGCCCAAGGATTTTCGTGTTCATTGTGAGAATTAAAAAAACTACAGACTTACCTATGCTATGGCCACTTAGTTCTGATGTCGTAGTTCTTCTTAAGGAATTGCCACATTTGATTCAGCTGTCTTCTGAATTTGAACATTATTTAGGTTATTTCCAAGTGCCGGGAACATCCTCACGCTGAATTAAATTCTTAGCGTTGGCGTTACTAGGTCAAAAGACTGCGTGCTTTCAGGGCTTTTCAGATACATTGCCAAGTTGTCCTTTAGAAAACCTGTGTTGTCTTTGACAATGTGAGAAATGGTGCTGTTCTGTGTTTTTTCTTGTCTGCCAGTGGATAAGTGAAAAATTATATCTCGCCAGTTGATGGCATTGGTTTGCACATGGGGTCAATACCTAACCAAGTATTGATGTTTCGTTTATCTACAAAATCACGATTCTAGGTTATCCTGAACCAGTACTGCTATAATATATAAAGCACTGTTAGATCAGAACAAGTCCCCAGACAATGGAAGAGTTGTCAGAGAACATGAACGGGCAATTTATAGAAATGCAGATACCTGGTGCAGATACTGCACTTTGTAAGTCATGAAATGCAGATTTAACTGGTGATATTCTGTGGGATACAGGTGATCTCACTTGCCTGTGTCCCCTCGAATCCAGCAGAAGCAATTGTGAGAAGCCCCAAGGAGGGGCACCTGTGGTAGCCTTCTTCCCAGGTTTGCTTTTGGTTTTGGCGTGGTAGGGGGGCAGTAACTGCCATGTTAATGTCTCTCGGGTCACGTTGCTGCTCTGATTACGGTCTTTTAAAGGGGTTTCTAAAGAATTTTTTCTGATTGAAGACACAACAAATTAAAGTTATGGTAATTATGTTCTTGATCCAGGAATATAGTTAACAACTTTTGTGTAGACCCCATACCATGGTTTCCCACAATTCATGGAACCCCAGGACACTATTCCTCCCACAAACCATGTCTGTGTCTCGTTATCTAGAAACACAATGCCCTCCCACTGTCCCTTTGCAGCTGTCCTTGCCCCCGCCTTCTCCCTAGTAAGCATGTTATCTCACCCTTCCCCTGGATAGGGCTGCTTTCATATGCATGGCCATTTCTGGTGATCGACAGTTGGAATGTCAACAAACATAGACTTCTGGCAAGAAAACCCCTTGGGTTAATCCCCATCCAGACACGGTTCCAATGTCATTTGTCCTCATGAAGGATTCATATTTTTCAGGCAAACAGATAGGCAGATGTTGCTATTGATTACAACTCTGTTCTTCAACTTAATCATGTGCGTTATCAAAGCCAGCATCATGATAGCTTCATATGTATAAAATGGCCTCGGCCCAGGCTTGTGTATAATGAGCTGACAGTCTCTTCAGGGCACCCATTCTGATCTCTAAGGAGGAGGCATCTTCTTTTGCTCATACACGGCGTGAGCTGCTGAGGATCCAGTTGTCCTGTAGGAGTGCGCCTGCAGTCAAAAGTAGTTCGACCTAGTAATAGGACTTGCCAGGGAAAATCGCCAAGCTGCGTTTTGCTCCATATATACGCCCTCTTCATGATTAAGTTGATATTCCACAACTAGGGAAAGAAGCAGATATATAGAGCCTTTATAGAAACCCAGTGGTGTTTTTTTCCGTAATCATTCCCACTTTTGGAATTGTATCTATTTATATTAATCATCCAAAACTATCATCGGGGGTGAATTGGTGGGTGTCCACCCACACAGGCAAGTGAGACTGCTTTAAACGCACAGTTGAACCTGAGGAGGAAACCTTTTGGTATTAGCATTAGCTCCCAGAAAATGAGGTGTATGAAAATTAGCTTTTAGAAACTAATTTGTTTTACTGAAATAATTTGGCCTACACGATTGGGAGTATTAATAGGGCAGACAGGAATTGTCTGGGCTGATGTACTGGGGTGATGTGATTACAAATCAGTGAAAGGAAATAACCTTTTCATGCTTCTGTTTTCCTGCTTGTAAAATGGGGTATTTACCCTGTAGTTCTGGGAAAGCAGGAACTAAGGTCACTACAGGATTTACAAAATCACTTTCGCCTTTGAACATTTAAACGTTTGCAAATCAGAATGTTGGCAGTTGTAGCCAGGAACCTTCCAGGTTCAAATTACTATTTTAGTCTAGTTGGTTCTTCCATTAAATTTTCCTGTGTGTATTGCTAACTAAATACACTCATTAATGTAGCAAATATGTCTCCCTGTTGTCTTGTAAGGCAGTGAATATCAGAACAAAACGTACAAATGTTGTGTCAGCTAAGATGTAGTTTTTTTAAGAAAACTAATTTAAAGCCAGAGGAGTAAATTAATGAATACATTATTACCTTTCTGATTTTTTTTTTTTGTCGCTGTACTCAACTACATCTTCAGAGCCAATTCTGGCAAAAAAAATTTTTTTTGGGTACTATTCAAAAGGCAGATTGCATTAATGTTTAAAACTAGATGTCGTTGAAAACAGTTGCTTAGGGAAATGAGTTATTAGCTTGGGTTTTAATAGTTTCACAGAGAAGAAAAAGTTAACTCTACAGCAGGACTTGTGTTTATAAATGTAAATGGTTCAAGATAATTCTTAAAAATCGTTTGTATTTTTTACGCTCGCCTAGTTGTGAAGTCAAAAATAGTCCAATGACTGACGTGCAGTGGCACCTAGCAGCCCTCAGCATGGAAAAGGGGAGAGTAGAACGTGTTATCTGAAATAATAACTTGGTGTAAGAGCCAAGTGCTGAGGTTCCATTTCTGCCCAACACCAGCCAGAGCTCCGCTTCTCCTCGCCCAGCTGTACTTTCCATCAATTCTGCGTCTCTTGTGTAAATGTATCCATTACCAGCTCACAGACTGGGAGCGATTTTTCTCCTTTGGAGCTCGTCCAGAATCCATCAGCCCCACACATATTTTACCTGCAAATCATTGGAAAAGCAAAAATGTTTAACTGCATGGAGAAGGTGGGTTGTCATTTGCTTGAATAGCCCCTTGAAGAATGTTGATTCTGGAGCATCATCGGAAAGAGAGGTGTCTGAATAACCATTTTACATGATTTCATAAATAGGAGGTCTCTGCATTAACCATGTTTGCTCATAGTAAACCTTTTAGATGTGTAGCTTGAATGTATCAAGATCTCAAGTGCTTAATGATAAGGTTTTGACTTGTTAAATTAAACCATTTGGAATATATTTGTGTGTTTGTAGTAGTCATTACTAGATAAGATCTGTTTTCAGATTCTTGCAAATTGACATTGTCCTTGAGCTGTAATACTTCACTTAGCGGGTGATGCCTTTAATTCCTGCAACCTTAAAATGTTGGCTGGATTTATTTCATCGGTTTAGGTTCCAAATCCTCACCCAACTTTGAGCACTTTGCTTACCATCCTCCGACTACCGTGTAGAAGATAAGATCCGTTACAGCGGTATTGAATCTCCGCCTTGTATGTGGTCGCTTCGGGACCTGTGACGTACTGCACTTGGCCGTTGGGTAAATCTTCCGGCGGGCCACAATCCACAACTGGTAAAGGGAGAGGGAGAGTCAGGTCGCACTAACCTGATTTGTGTCCAGCGCCCCGACGCGAGAGGCCAGACGGGCAGGTGGCTGTGCTGCCGGGCTTGTGGCCCGGCTCTGCCTGTGTAAACAACGCTGACCTCTTAACTGAAGAAAAAATGGATAGGTCGGCCTTACTGCGCGATCGTAAAGCATCGCTTCCTCCTGTTCCGACCTGAACGGCTGATTGGCTGGTGCGTTCTGGGTGAGGCCCTGGGGTGGGAGCCGCCGCACGGTGCTTTCCAGAAGGAAGGGGTTTGAAGCCACCTGGGGCTCCTTAGTGCCCCGTGCCTCTAACTTCTGACGGAAATTCTGGGGCCAAAGGGCCTCAAGGAAGGAAGAACGAGGGCACGGCCCACAGCGTCCCTGGAGAGCAGTACTCCGTTGCAGTTTGGCCCTGAGAGTCAGCAATAGGATGAGGACTTGGTTTGTGCTAGGCTCCTGGTCCCAAATTAACTTTTTAGAGGAGATCTGGAAGTCCTAGTACCTTGAATTTGCATGAATGCTCACCGTTAGGACACGAGTGTGATTAGGACACAGCGGGAACGATCTACCCAGGTTCGGAGATGAAGTGATAGCCAGAAGCCCTACTTCACGAGGGAGGTCGAAAACTCGACACTGGACGTTCTTTCTCCGAACATTTAGAGCTTACACTGAGATAGCAACTTAGCCGTGAGCCTGGTTCTGTGCCGAGTGCTCCTCTGATTCTCCATAGAGGTGCCCACGGCTACCTGGCTTCTGTCACGAAGTGGCAGCTGGTTCCAGCCGGACTCAGCTCGCCCAACGCTCCCAGTGGTGCCGCTCTCTGCTTGGGAACTAAGCATTGGTGAATCTCGGTGGTGGGGCTGAAGCTACGGCGAAAGTGTTTCAATTGCCTGTGAATTCTGTAGAACCCTTACTGCAAATGTGCACAAATACATTACAGGGCTGACCACGGCAGCAGTGGATGGTCTGATGAAGACCTGGGCACTGTACACAGGCCGTGTATGGGGTGCCACGCAAGCCACTAACGAGGGCGTGATTCTCCTAACCCTTAAGACGCGGGTTGGCGTGGAAGAGCCCAACAACACGGGGAGTCCGTGCGATCAGAGCCGAAGTCTCCTTTGCTTAAAAGTGTGAGATACTAGTGAGATCGTTAGGATACACACACAGCATGGGAGCTAAAGCACGTGAAGGCACGGACCTGCAAACTCTCAGGGTAGTTTGGGACGTGGGCAAAAGAGGCTCGCTGTAGGTTTCTTGTAAACTTAGGTTTTGACTTAACTTGCATTTTATCGCTGGGAAAACAACTTCACATGTGATTCCCTAACTCACAGGCTGGTGGGTAGTACACCCTCGCTCCAGTTTGGTGTGTATGTGGCGGCATGAGTGACCCCGTCCCTACAGTATGGTGGTCTGTACCTGTGCACACGAGCTGCAGTGTGAGAAGCGTGTGACCTTGGGCGTGTTCTAACAGTGGGATCATGGGCCTTGAAGTGCCATTTTCTCCTTTCCCATCCCCTGCACGGAGATTTCATACTTGAAAAAACAGTTTAAAATTCACGCTTGTCAAAGCGATAACTTTTTTCCTAGTGGTTCCCACAGCCTGTAAGAGCGCCCGGAGGCGGGAGGAGGAGCAGGTTTGGAACCCGGTCCCAGCCGGACCATTTCAGAAGAGACGGAGACTTAGCAGGCACGGGCGGCAGAGGCCAGCGGGGATCTGAGTCTGGGGCCTTACTGCTGCACTGCGGCATCAGCTTGTCCCAGGATCCGTCTTTCTGGCACACGGCAGCAAATGACCTGAGGGGCAGACGACCCTGAAGAAGCCGGAAGGGTTGGTGCGCATTCGTTTGTATTTACTCCCGAAGCTCGGCTCCCGCAGCAGTGCCGGGGCGGGGGGGGAAATTAGTCAGGGGGTGCCGCACCCACGGACCAGCCACACCCCGACTCTGCCTCGGTGCCCATGCGCGCTGGCTGGCGGCCGACAGCTCTGCCCGTTGTGTCGCAATGCCGCAGACCTCTCCTCTCCTAAGAGAGGTGTTGGCGCCAATACAGGAAAATGGTGACCTCTGCGGCAACTCATGAATACTTTTAGCTCTCCACTGCAATCCAGGAACCCAACACATCCAGTGCCTGCCCTTTCACCAGTTCTTTACATAAAGGGCCAAAGGGCGGTGCTTGAACGAAGGGGAAGGCCAGCCGTCTCAGCGTGGAGGCTGAATGTGCCCGAGTTTTCTGTGGCCATCAGCTGGGGACAGTTACTAAAATACTTTCCTAGGCCTGTCTCGCTCGTTCTCGTGATCGCTAGAATGGTTTGCAGAGAACGTGTCTGACTTACTGAAACTATTTTAAAGTTGGAAGTGAAGATCACTTGGGCAGAGCAGAAGAAGCCTTTATGCTTTCAAGGAAGCAGGAGGGTTTTTGTTCATTCTTTTCCCTTCCACCCCCACCCACCCCCCCCCCAGCAGAAACTGAGGTTTGCATGCAGTCCCAGGAGCTGCGGGCCAAGACCCTGGCCGGAACTTTGCAAGGTGGGAAAAGTGCCGGGTTTGTTTGCTTCTTTTGGACTCACTCCTCCGCAGGACTGGACTGAATAACTATCGTTTCCGTGTTATTACTTTGTACCGCTGGGATTCAGTGACAATTTTGAAGAACATAAAGAGGACGTGTTAATCTCTTACCTGTGCTCAGTTGCCTAAACAGCAGTAAGCATTTTAAAATTATCCTCCTCGTCTTCACAGAGGTCACTATTTATAACTTTGCAGAATGTACCGTTTCCTAGTGCCGTTTAATCTTTTGTGCGCCCGGGACTTGTGGCACGGAAAGGTCGTCACGTGACCGGGGCGGGGCCTAATTTAATAGGTGGTAGCCCGGGCCTCTCGAGCTGCCATAGAACAGGAAAAATCCATTTTAATCACTAGCTTCGGAGAAAAAAAAAAGGGCTTGTCTTTTCTTCCTTTTTTTTTAAAGTTTGCTTATTTTTTGAAGGGAGAGGGGAGGGCAGAGACAGAGAGGGAGACAGAAACCCAAGCATGTTCCTCATGGAGCCTGGCTGTGGGGCTCAAACCCAGAAACCATGAGATCACCGCCTGAACCGAAATCAACAATCCGGGGCTTAACTGAGCAGCCCCAGGTGCCCCTTAGAGCTTTTTTTGCATAAAAGAACGAAAGAATTCTCCATAGACCTCTGTCTTCTAGGCCAGCTTATCTCTTTGAATGTTAGTGGCTAATCGTGTGGGCCAAAGAAAGCCCCGTGCTGACCACAGCTATTTCTCCACTTGCACCCATCTGCCGATACGAATATGTAGCCACGTAAAACTGGTCATGATCCTGCTGCGCTTGGAGCTCTGTGCTAACTGCAGGAGCTCGTACCCAGTCTCACAGAAGACGAAGCGGTCTTTCAGGACGTACTGGGCTTACTGAGGCGTATTAGGTGGAGCCACCGGACCAGGGCAAGGCCGAGCTGCGCAGGAGGGGGGGGGGGGGTTGGAAACCGGGTTTAGGGGTTTTTGATGGCCTCTCGAAGGCCAGTCTGAATGCAGCCATTTTGAGTCTTGATTCATAGCCGGAACACTTAACACAGAGCTCGCCACAAGTGGGTGGAGCCGCTTGTGCTCAAACCAGAGGCCAGATGACCTGTGGGGCTGCACCGATCAGGATAGTAGCCGCCTGGGCCTCCCGGAAAGCGGCGTTGCCGAGCCGGGAACCCGGGGGGCGTCTGCTCTGCCCTGGGACCTTACAGTCCCTGCCGCAAACCAGAGAGAGTGTCGCTTGAGGAAAGAGCTAGACCCGCATTCGCAGTACTTTAGCCTCTGGGCCTCCGATTCCTCTAGGGTCGTGAGGGCCGGAAATGGATGTTGGGCTAGTGCCTTGCTGAGCGCTGGGCCAGAGGGTGCAGGTGACCGCCCACAACAGCCCGGAGACCTGGGTTCCGATCCCACCGGCACTCAGGGGAGCCTGTGCTTCCCCTTCGCCAGCACGTGCTCACAGCGCTCAGCCCCCTCTCCCCTGGACACTGCTCTTCCACTCCGGCTGCAAACCCAGCCTGGTGTCACCTCCGCTTCCTCTGCCACGCCAGTGGTTTGCTCGTCTCCCAGCAGCTGGTCTCTGGGTGCTCTCCAGTCCTTGCTGTCCCAGGAGCCCTGCACTCCCACCCCCCCCCACCT